AGCCAAAAAAGGTTAGTACGCGTTTCGCATGGCTGCACGCACAAAGTGTAATATCATTATTACTAGTAGTAGTAGTAGTAGTAGTAGCAGCAGCAGCAGGAGTAGTAGTAGTAGTAGTAGTAGTAGTACTGTTGATGGAGGAAATCTCGCACTTTAGGGCCCCTTGGTGGTGCAAGATTTCATCCATCAACAGTAGTACTAGTAGTAGTAGTAGTAGTAGTAGTAATAGTAGGTCGCAGCAGTAGCAGTAGCAGTAGCAGTGGCAATAGCAGCGGCAGCAGTCGCGGTGATGGCGGCGGTGGCGGCGGTGGAGGTGCTGGTGACAGCAAGGCGCCTCCAACAGCGATTGGGCAAGGGGACGGTATCCATGAATTCCAGCACCCCCGTCTCCGGGGCAGAGGAGCACCTCCAAGGTCTTGTCCATTGAGGGTGACTGAGCCAACGGCTTCCAAGAGATACGATCACTGCCCAACAGGAGAGCCAGGATCTCATTGATTGCCGGTTGAGCAGAATCTGTCTTCGGCTGCGCTAGGTGTACAGAGTCCTGCACAAGCCCAGCGACAGAGGCACCTGGGGAGAGCATTTGACGGATAGACACCTGAATACCACGAGCCAACGCCGATGATGCCACTCTGACAGCTGACAAGGAGGTCAGACCCAGGCTGTCCAGCGAGTGCTGAGGTGAGATGGGTGCTCTTCCCATCACCTCTCTCAGTATCGTCAAAAGATCTTCTTCATGCCCATGAGTCCGTCCTTCAAGTTGCTCATCCTCTTTGTTTCCCCTGGCTCGTAGAGTTGCTGCCAAAGAGGCTGCCATTGCGCGACGGTCCACTTTGCCAGAGGTGGTGCGTGGCCATTCCGCAGTTCGCCAGACGTGGCAACGTTGAGGAATCATTGAAGCCGGAAGACTCCGCCGGCACTCTTCCAGTAGGTGCTCAGGGTCCACCGTTTCAGGCAAGGAAACCACAGCCACCAACAAATCCGTCTCTCTGTGGGAAGGCACTGACGGTGCAGGTACCAGAAGCACCGCCGCAGCCTCCACAAAGGGCCGTTGACAGATCACGCGTTCGATCTCTCCCAGCTCAATGCGCTGCCCCTTCAACTTTACTTGCAGATCCTTGCGGCCGCAGAACCTTAGTTTCGTCTCAGTTCCAAGTCACTAGCATTCTGAACCGCAAGCTCGATTTTCATTGCTAAAAAAGATTACTCAGTGATCAGTGATCTGTGCGGTCTAGCAAGTCACAGAAGGAATACAAGCTGCAGATCCTGAGACACCTTTGTGGGAGGCTGCTGCTTCCAAACTTCCAACAGGGATTGGTTTTCATGGTTTCTCAAGCCTCCTTAAATCCGAGTGGTACTGTCCCACAAGTGTGGGCCTCCGATGCTTTGTACCCAGCGGCCTGTCCATTTTTCCTGAGGAGAAGCAACCTACCTGTGGCACCGACGCACCGAAGGATGCTGAGGGCACAACCTGCAGTCTTATGTGCCACCGCAAGTGTGCCGCAGGGACTCGAGATCGAATGTCAAGCTAAAGCAAACGCGTGTGTACTTAGGACCCGAGGACCCGTGGTCACTTTGGCCGTTGTCATGTGAGATTCTGCACATGCAATGCGGAACTGCAGTGCAACACGTCGTCGTCTTTGATTGTAAGAGATCAGCATGCATTTTCCACGAAGAAAACGAGTATGCCCGTCTCACGTAATGACAATGATCCTGCCGTCGTCCATCAACAGCACATAAGAAAGGACACATTTCAAGATGTCAGGTGCACTCAATTCTGCCTCTTGCTTTCCGTGCGGGTACTTTCTGCAGCCAAGAAACCGCAGGCAGCCACGAAGGCCGCTTCGCACCACAAGGTCTCCCGTGTGGTAATGTCTCCCGGCACCCCGGGAGGACTCATTAAACGCAGCATTCGTCAGCTCGGGCCTTGCCACGTATCCCAGGGCCACACCTGGACCGCCCAACAAAACCTCTCCATCCATTTGCAGAGTCATGAGATCTTGCTCCACACCTTCACGGCCGGTGCTCAGATGAACGTGCCGGTGCGCAGAGGCCCAGCCGATTGGTGCATCGTCACAAAATTCCTGCAGCTGAGAAGGCCCAAACATCAGAGCATTGATGGCACACTCTGTGGGCCCATAGCGATTATGCAGAAGGGTTCTGGATGTTCGGGCTCGCTTGTAGTAGTCAGCGGCAGCAGAGGCCAGGGGCTCGCCGCCACATCCCAGGTGCCTGAGGCTCGGGAGCTCCAATGCTCCCGAGTTCAGATGCACCATGGCTGACAACACTGACGGCACGATGGTGGTAAATGTCACAGACTTCTGCTGCATGACGGCAAAAAGCTCTGACGGATCCACCATTGGATTCTGCTCCGTGAGAACCAGTGTTGCACCGCTCAGCAGTGCCCCAAAGATCTGCGAGTAAGCCATGTCAAAGGAGTACGAGCTGGTCAGCAGCACGCGGTCCGATGCTTGAAGTTTCAGGACGCGTATGTATGGGAGAAGGTGCGACAGCAGTGCCTTGTGGGAAAGCGACACTCCCTTTGGTCGCCCTGTAGAACCAGACGTGAACAGGACATAGACAGCCTCTGATCGCATCAAAGCGCAGCGGCGGATGGACTGGGTTTCCAGTCCTGCCATACTTGATGTACCGTTGATGCTTGGAACCTCCAGAAAGATAAGAGGAGGGACGCTGCGGCCCGCAAGTGAGACCCCAAAAGCTGCTACTTTACATGTGGCCAGAAGCGCCAGAGCACCTGCTTCTACCACCATGAAGTGCAACCGCTCCAATGGGTTTTCAGGCGAAAGCGGTAAGAAGGAAGCCCCAACCAAGAGGATGGCCAGCAAAGCCACTGGTAGTTCTGCACAGCGATGGGCAAGCACGGCCACCACAACTTGCTTAGCCGAAATGCTGTCAGAGCAGGCAAGAAGCTCTTGGCGCAGCACTTGGGCCATTCCACAAGAAGCCTTGGCTAAAGCCTTCCAGGAAACGTTTCTAGGACCATCCACGGCATCCACAGCAACCGCTGTCTGGTTCGGAGTACGCAAGGCTTGCTGCAAAAAGATATCCTCGATGCGAAGATGATCTGGCAAAGGCTCAGACTCGCTGGAAACCCAGCAATTTTGCAAGGCTTCTCGCTCGTCCAAGGGTGCCAGTGCTAGCTCCGCAATGAGCAATTCCGTCGCTTGCGACGCTTGTGCTAGGCGCCGAGCCATGACGCCCAAGTGCCGATCCAATGTGCAAATAGCAGCCGCTGTGAGCACTTCCCTCATGAACTCCCAGCGAATGCAACAGCAGCCACTGGGTGAGGTGGACGTCTGAAGACTGATTTCGAACTTTGCTTCCGCTGGTGCCAAACCAAAGTCAAAGTCATCGATATGCAATCCTCTCTGCGCAGCTTCCACCCTCAAGTCCTCATCCCCAAACTGGCCTGCCACAATGTGCTGGAAGAAGGCTTGAAGAATGGGGTTGCGATCGCTTTGGACATCAACCTCCTGCATCTGTTAGTGTGCAAAGACGGAAATCAAGCAACAGGATGCAGATTTTGTCCTGGGCCCGATTCTTCCTGAGCTCTGCAACGATGCTCTGAAAAGGCACGGCTGCTGCGTCCAAAGCAACCAGCAGCCTCTTCTGTGTCCTGCACTGGCTGCACGAACGTTCCTCAACGCAAAACTATGGAACGCTAACGCCCTCCTCAGCACAAGGCTGCCAAAGGTGTTGCTTTGGTTGGACTGCGAATGCAAGGCGAGTCAAACATGTGTAGGCCATGTGACCATTCAGGCATGTAGACCAGGTGCCTCCCCGGACAGCTGGATGCGAATAGGCAAGGTGTTCCTCGGCAAGTTGTGCGTCACGACATGGAGTCTAATCAAGACTAGCGGCTAGCGACCCTCAAGTGCATGGCACTGGGATGGAATCAGGATCTTCTGCTTCTACGATACGACTGATGCAGCTTGCCACCCAGATAAAATGAGCACTAGCTACTGCAGCTCAGTCCTAGCGCATTGCCTGTCTGCCGTATGTAGATCATGTGCAAGTCGAGTAGCACGAAGAAGCCAAGGATATTCTGGAGCTCTTGCTGGCTCCTGCCAGCCTCAGGAATGCCCACGAGGAGATCGTCCTACCACAGGGACTTCATGAAGCTGGCTTTCAAGGAACCAGGCATGTAGCTTCGGCGGAATCAGACTCTTGGGACAGTCCTGGCCGCAACGGCATCCAAGAGCGAGGCCAAACAACGAAAGCCTTTGATTTAGCCAGGCCGGTAGGAGTTTGTTGCTTCTTCTGCTCGCTTCACCCCTCCACTTCAACCAAAAGTTGTCCGCGTGGCAAGAGGGCCATCTCAGAGACCTGCAGCACAGAAGCTGCCCTGCGCAGAGCTGCAAAGTGCTCTGCGGGCCACTCGGAGGCCTTTGGACCAGCACAGGCAAGCATCCAGAAAGTGTTCCGGACTTTCTGAGGTCACTGCCAGCTTGCCAGCTGAGCAGGGCTCCCTTGAAGGTGGCCGGTCGAAAGGGAGGCTGAGGCTGACACCTGCAACTAGGCTCTGCTACATCGTTCTTGCATGAACCACATTGTCCGTCCTGACAGCTCTGAAGCCCAGATTTCAAGGCAACGCTTCTCCTCACCAGCAGCCAAAAAGGCCCGCTGCCAAACCGCATAGTCCGCATATTGCCTCACGCAATGACGACGCCAAACACATCATCTGTGGCTGCAACCACATCAGGTTTGGTAGATTGCCAAGCCGCAGCAAGGGTTGTGAGGGAGGCAGATCGGACGTGAGAAGCGCGACCAGTTCCTTCTCCAGCAAAGCCTGGAGCTTGGTACATAGATTGCTAGTCATTGCTGATGCTTCCTGCATCTCGTCCCAAAGACTGCTTAGGCTTATGTGCTGTCTTGAGCTGGGACTTGATCAGAACAGCTTTGGACGGCCTGAGACACAGCATCAAATGCCACATGATGCACATTGAAGTACCTCAGTCTGAAGCAAGTTGCTAAAAACTCATGCCGAGGCAGATAAGCCTAGACGCAAAGATAATTGATCTCAGATGCAGCAGGAAACTGGAGCTGCCATCAAGCTGAGGCATGCAGAAGACATGCACCCGAAGGGGACACCCATCAAGCTCAAAGCCTGCCACTGTCACATCGCCGGGTTTTTGGCATGTGTCATCTCTCTGCACTGCTTCAATGCTGCCTCTGATCGCATCCAGACGCATTGTCTCCGCAGCCAGCTCTGACGCTTCTGCCCAAAGAAGCCTTGAAGACGGATGTAACCAGAGCCAACTGCACCTGAAGCCCAGCTTGCTGGCGCAAAGCAGCAAAAAAAGGCTACCTGCAATTGTATCCAAGGCACAAGCACAGGCAAGTGGCAGCTGCTGTCTCATCCGGGCAGTAAACAGATTCTGGGCCGCGGATTCTCTGATATAATGGACTACCGCTGTCTTCATCGCCTCAAGCAACCACTCGGCAACGGGGCATCAAGGAATTAAGAACAAGTTGCTCTTTGAAACAAATCCTTCTCACTGTCCTCACTCAGCACTACCATTGCCCCTGCCTTCCACAAGTGCCGTGCGTAGCGCAGAGTGGTTTCTTACCAAGACCTGCACGAATCCAGAGTCATTCGACCCCGTGGCAGCTTGCGATGAAGATTAGGCTCTGCTGCAACACCAACCGCTGTGGCAGGACAACACACCAAACCGTCTTAAGCACAGGGCCTCCAAGGCAGAAAGCAGGACGCCGCAGGTAAGAGTGGCAGAGCACATCTGGAAGGCAAATGTCACATTGTAGGCAGCACCTGAAGAAAAAAGGAACTTACAGGTC